AACTATTTTAGGTCGTCTCTGCAACCATCCGGAGCTGAACTGTGCAACACATAACTGCTCGCATGATTGCATCAGTTTGCCTGCAGGGCCGCGCTGCATTTGTCCTGCCGGCTACCACAATGTCAACGAAAAAGTGTGCATCGACATCAACGAGTGTGAAGAGTATGGTAAGTCGTGCACTTTTCCCAAAAACTCAATTTTCTGCAGTGGCACGTTGCAGGCATTTGCGACCAGCACTGCCGGAACTCGCCCGGATCGTACGAGTGCTTCTGCGAGCACAAATACATGCTGCAGGAAGACAAGCGGACTTGCAAAGCGATCGGGGGCGAGGCCACGATGATATTCAGCTCCAAAACACAAATTCGGTAAGTTCAGTTTGGAAACTGAAAACTCATGGGTCCTCAATGGCAATGGACAATTCCCCAGCTCATACCTGCTGAACAGCGACCTGCTGTTCTCGATTGCCAACAATCTGAAGCAAGTGGTAGGAGTCAGTTCTGATGGCCAGCACATCTACTGGACGGATGTGCAAAGCGAGCACGAAGCCATCGTCCGCGCCTCAGAAGACGGATCAGATCGAGAGGTAAACCCTTCCATCACCCAAACAACTCATCATCAGCTCCCATCCACTTTTCAGGTGATTGTAACGTCGGGCCTGGGCCTTCCGGAAGACCTAGAAGTCGACTGGCTCACCGGAAACATCTATTTCACGGACGCTCAGAACCGGCATATCGGCGTCTGCAAGAACGACGGCTCTCATTGCACCGTTCTGATCAACAAGGACATCAGAAAACCACGTGGCATTGCGCTGAATGTGAACGACGGGTGAGTTGGCTCAAACCCTTCTGAAGCTCTTGATTGACGATCGATCGTCCTCAGAACGATGTACTGGACCGACTGGGAAAAACCTGCGGAAATTGCCACTGCTCAGATGGACGGAACCAATGCCATGCCATTTCTTCGCGATGATATTGGCTGGCCCAATGGGTTGGCTTTGGACTTTCCCAACTCGCGTCTCTATTGGACGGATGCCAAGAAAATGACTCTGGAAAGTATTCGATTGGACGGCACTGATCGAAGAGTGAGTAAAATAACTACAAATTTCAGAGTTCGGTCTTTAGATTTATACAGCGTGTCCCTCGAGTACGTGAGAATCTCTCGGGGGAATACAGGGTAGGTGTAATCTACCCGTATTACTTTGACCTCCCCAGAAAGCTCTTCGAGAGATTGTCACGTACTTAAGGGACACCCTGTATAGCGTCGTTCCGTCTAAACGGTTAGAGACTTGCAATAAATTTAAATACAGTGGATCCTTTAAATTGTCATTTGCGTATGCTAAAATTCCTTGCAAGTGTACAGGGTGTCTCATAGAAACGCTATCGACTCTGTCAATTTTTGAAACATGCAAAACGAGACGGAAAACATGAAATTTTGCAATAATCTTACGCCACCCTTGCACAAAACGACGATCATTTTTCTAATTTCATAAACATCAGAAGACTGTATTTTTTGCCATTTAAAAAACCGCCTGTTACCGCTGGCCCTTTTATGAGACACCCCGTATACTTCAAGCTAATTTTAGCATATGCAGCTCAAAGCAAAATTAAAAAAAACGACGGTTTCCCTAATTTTTCCCTGTCTACCCGTTTAGACGCAATGAAGCTATTTCACACCATTGGGCCACCCTGTATGCACACAGCAATGTTTCAGGTAATTCTCAAAGACGTCGTAAGGCATCCGTTCGCTATTGCGGTGTTCGAAGACAAAATCTACTGGTCGGACTGGAACACGCACTCCATCGATTCCTGTGAGAAATTCACCGGCAAGAACCATCACACTCTGATCAAAGAGTCGAAGGACTACATTTACGGAATGAGCATTTACCATTCGGCTTTACATAAGAGAATTGAGAATCCGTGCGCTTCCGCTTTCTGCAGCGACATTTGCCTTCTGAACGGAGTCAGTTACTCGTGTGCCTGCTCAGAAGGACGATTGCTCCATTCAGATAAACACACTTGCCAAGGTAGGCTTCACTTACTCACAAATCCTCTGAGCCGATCACTGACGTCGCCAACTTCCCACTAGCGATGGAAAAGCGGCAAATGCTCGTGTTGGCAGCTGGAAACGCCCTCTTAAGCATCGAGCATAAAACGCTTGGGAAGCATTCGCTGACCGTCTTACCATCAGTGGTGGCTGACGCGGGAGCGCTGACTTACGATGGGCGCAACCACAGCATTTTCATCAGCGATCTGACCAAAAAGAGCATTGTGGAATTCAACTTGCACTCGCACAGTCGCACCACGCTGCCAATCAAGGGGCTGGAAACCGTCGTTTCCATGGACTTTGGTAAGCAGATGGGGCGGGACAAGTTTTGATTGGTTGACTGTTTTGAACGTGCTTCTCAGACTCAGCGAGCAACAACTTGTACATTTGCGACAGCGCAAAGTCCACTCTGGAAGTGGTCAGCTTAACCACCATGGCCCACAAGGTGCTGATTTATGGGGCCGAACATGAAGTGCCCCAATCGGTAGCGCTGGTTCCCCACGACGGGTAAGCAGTGCGATTTGCTTCGCTTTTCGTGTCGCATCTGCTGATGATTCAACTTGGTTTTAGTCTCATGTTCGTCTCGTTCTACGACCAGAGGAAGGAACAGTCGCACATCGACCGGATGTCCATGGACGGCACTGGACGCACTCACATCACGGAACAGGATCTGAATGGACCGGTCAAGTTGCATTTCGACTCTCATTTTAATCGGCTATTTTTCGCTGATGCCGGCACTGGAGTTATCGAGCATATCAACATCGATGGTAGGCAAACGAAAATAGTTGATTTATTGAGGAGGGTCCTACTGCTCCAAAACACCCACAATCACTACCAATTTGACATTCGCTGTCAATTTCAACCTGACTTGATGTGTCACTCTTGGCATCCACCGACCGCCATTTTGCCGCAATGTTGCAATAACTCCAAATTTGACATTCTCTGTCAATTTCAACCTGACTTGATGTTTTTTACAAAACTTCTTGTTGGG